GGAACTTTTCAGCAAGAGTAGTTCCAGTAATCAGCAGAGACTAAGCATGGAAAGTTTCAGCCTCAAAGATGGGAATGTTGAAAACATGGTGTTAGAATGGAAATAACCAGTTTTAGTTAGAGGAATTGGTAATTTGGAAGATGACTGCAAATGGAATAGGCGCTTGTAAAATATTATGGCACCACATGACTGAGCAGTACAGAAAACACATCAGGACTAAGAACATTGTAGTATCTCTGTATAAGTCACTGACTGGAAAGTACATCTAGCATATGGTATATGCTGGTATTTTTTGGCACATCACTACAATCACTACTTAGTGTTTAAACACAGAAGCAGAGAAATATAGGGTGGAAGGACCTTGACAGGTCATCTGGTCCAGCCCCCTGCACTGAAGGAATACCAAGTACACCTAAACCAGGGGTCCCCAACGCGGTGCCTGCGGGTGCATGCATGTGGACATAGTGTACTTAGATTTTCAGAAAGCCTTTGACAAGGTCCCTCACCAAAGGCTCTTAAATAAAGTAATCTGTCATGGGATAAGAGGGAAGGTCATCTCATGGATTGGTAACTGGTTAAAAGATAGGAAACAAAGGGTAGGAGTAAATGGCCAGTTTTCAGAATGGAGAGAGGTAAATACAGATGTCCCCCAGGCATCTGTACTAGGACCAGTACTATTCAATATATTCATAAATGATCTGGAAAAAAGGAGTAAACAGTAAAAATTTGCAGATGAAACAAAACTACTCAAGATAGTGAAGTCCAAAGCAGACTCTGAATAGCTACAAAGGGATCTCACAAACTGGGTGAGACTGGGCAACAAAATGGCAGATAAAATTCAATGTTGATAAATGCAAAGTAATGCACATTGGAAAACATAATTCCAGCTATCCATATAAAATGATGGGGTCTAAATTAGTTGTTATCACTCAAGGAAGAGATCTTGGAGTCACTGTGGACAGTTCTCTGAAAACATCCATTCAATGTGCAGCAGCAGTCAAAAAAGCAAACAGATTTTTGGGAATCATTAAGAAAGGGATAGATAAGACAGAAAATATATTGCCTCTATATAAATCCCTGGTACAGCCACATCTTGAATACTGTGTGCAGATGTGGTTACCATCTCAAAAAAGATGTATTGGAATTGGAAAAGGTTCAGAACAGCTTCCATGAGGAGAGATTAATAAGATTGGGACTCTTCAGCTTGGAAAAGAGATGACTAAGGGGGGGATATGATAGAGGGCTATAAAATCATGACCAGTATGGAGAAAGTAAATAAGGAAGTGTTATTTACTCCTCAGAACACAAGACCTAGGGGTCACCAAATGAAATTAATAGGCAGCAGGTTTAAAACCAACAAAAGGAAGTATTTCTTCACACAACGCACAGTCAATCTGTAGAACTCTTTGCCAAAGGATGTTGTAAAGGGCAACACTATAACAGGGTTCAAGAAAGAACTAGATAAATTCATGGAGGATAGGTCCATCAACGGCTATTAGCCAGGATGGACAGGGATGGTGTTCCCAGCCTCTGTTTGCCAGAAGCTGGGAATGGTCGACAGGGGATGGATCACTTGATGATTACCTGCTCTGTTCAGTCCCTCTGGGGCAATTGTCATTGGCCACTGTCTGAAGACAGGATACTGGGCTAGATGGACCTATGGTCTGACCCAGTATGGCCATTCTCATGTTCTTATATTTGAAGACTTATCAGCTTCCGCCCCCAAATCATCTTTTTAAACCTTTCCTCACAGGTCAGGTTTTTTAAACCTTTAGTAATTTTTGTTGCTCTCTTCTGAATTCTCTCCAGTTTCTTCACATCTTTCTTGAAGCGTGGTGCCCAAAACTGGACACAGTACTCCACCTGAGGCCTCACCAGTGCTGAGCAGAAGAATTGTCTCCATGTCTTATACACCACACTTGATAATACACCCCAGAATAGCATTAGCCTTTCACAACTGCATCACACTGTTGATTCACATTTAATTTTTCATCTACTATAACCCCCAAATCCTTTCCTGCAGTACTATTGCCTAGCCAGTTATTTACCATGTTGTATTTAGGCATATAGCATTTTCATCTCAAATCAACTAAACTCAAAGAAATTCAGAGAGACTAAAATCAACACAATTTGAAGGCATAACCACTGAAGAGTATTAAAAGGAAAATATATATATAGCTTAATTAAATTATAGAAGTCAACTGGGAGCATAAGGTGTCAGTCTACAAGTATTTCTAAACACCAAGAAAGTAGAGGCCAATAACATTCCTGTAGAGTAGCTAGAGAGTTATCAGACTACACTGCATATGCAGATCCACATTCTTGGGAGTATGAGCCTTAATGGTGCAATTCAAGAACCATTCAGAAAGCATTTTCTTGAATCACATTTGTTGGAAGGACAACCAATCCTTCTCTATTATTACAAAAACTTTATATAGATGATGCTGTGGCAAAATTCAAGTCTGTAAGGGTATTATACTCTGAAAACTCGATTGATAGTGAATAGCCTTCCTTTCCCCTTGGAGACATAGTACAAATATGCAGTCTTGAATAGCTGAGGCATAACTATATGAGATTCTAAACAGTCTGAGAATGTTAATAACGAAAAAAAGAAAAAACCCAATGCGTGCATATTACTATAACTCTTTTCAACTTTCACTAACTAGTAATTTTTGCATGATGGAGCAGTCAGATTTCACCAAAATTAATCGTGAGAATTTGAGACAAGGCATATATTAATAGTCATATTGACACTGAATGAGCAATAAGAATTCTTGCCAAAGACCAACGTCACTAGGTTGACAGATTTTATCTGTCTCAGGCACCAATGTGGCCAGCCCTGTTACTGTACTGACAGCCTCACAATATTTTAAGTTTCAGAGTAGCAGCCGTGTTAGTCTGTATCAGCAAAAAGAACAGGAGTACTTGTGGCACCTTAGAGACCAAAATTTTTTTGAGCATAAGCTTTCGTAGGCTACAGCCCACTTTAATGTATTCATCATCACAACACCCCTGTGAAGTAGGAAAGTACTATTATCTCCATTTTACTGATGGCCACAGAGACTTGCTCAAGGTCATATAGTAAGTCTGTGGCAGAGCAAGGAATTGATTCTGGGTCTCCCAGGTTAATGCATTAACTACTGGATCATCTTTCCTCTCCACAGAGCTTTGCCAGAGATTCAAATATGCTCTCTTATAAATGGACACTGTCAAGAAAAAGAAAATCTTATTTCCCCGTCTGAACCCCATCCACTAAAATGATTCCTCTCTCCTTTATCCCAGAGAAACTAGGAATGCAGTGAGAGGGTGGCTGTTATACTGCTTCCTCACCAAGGCTTCAAAGGGCTTAACTCAGAGGCATAGTAAAGCAAGAGGCATCAGACACTAGCTGGCCTAATGGTTATTCTTCACTGAGCTCTGCAGTTGCAGGAGAACAGTGCAGTAGATGACCCCTCAGACTGTAGGCTGCATGGTCTGGCACACTGACTGGGACTGATTAACCAGGGATGGATTTGCAAAGTTTGAAGATTGTTGGTTACTATGCAAACTTGTCCTTGAATGTAGAAGTAGGCCCAGTAAACCACTGCAACTCCTACTGCAGTCTCTGGGAGTTGTGTCACTTAACTAAAGGTAGAACTGGTGCCATTTCTAAGGGGAAAACACAAACAACTTTTATCTTCAGATTTAGCTTCTTCAATATGAATACTGATGTCAGAATATGCAGCAGCAAAAACAGTAAACTGCTCCAATTTCCTCCCAGGTCTTTCCATGTGGTGTAAATTGCTTTCAGCAATTTATATCACTGTGAAATCATTATTGGAATATAAATGCCAGTTTCTACAGCTCATTCGCTTTTGATATTCAGCTATTTACTTAGCAAAATGTTTCATTTCAGTATGTAACCTCTGCACTTTGGTTAAAATGCATTATGGACAACTAATAATTCACACATGTGTTTGAAAGTATACACAATCTGCATTTATAATGTATGAACTTCACCTGGGTGGTCATAAAAATAAACAAATATTACTTTAATAGATTAACTGCAAGAAGGACATTATTTCTATTGATTTAGCTCTTTATTTCTATTGGTGCTAACTTAGAGGCCCAAATCAGTATCAGGCCTCTCTGTGCTAGATGCTATGCAAACACACAGCAAAAGAGTCAGTTCTGGACCCAAAGAGCTTATAATTTAATCTGAGACAAAAATAACAAGAGTGAAAATAAGAAGGCAGGAAAAGATGATGGGGAGAACAGTTACATCAGTTAGTTCTGTGCACAAGCCAAACTTCACTGAAGGTACCAAATACACTTTAATATAATTAGCTTTCCCTGACTGATGCACAACAAAACCATCATCAGCTGGCTGATTTCCTGTAGGTTCACAAGCAGAGGTGGGTCTTGAAGAGGGATTTTAAGGAAGGGTAAGTAGTATCCATATGTATTAATTCAGAGGGGTGTTCCATGTGTAACCCATGCTTCCTGGAATGAATGTGGACTGTTCCCTTCTGGAGGGTGGACCACAGCAGTTTATGAGTTGGCTACGGTCTTTGAGCAAATAGAGTTGGGTCTTTTAGCTCAGGCAGTAGAGGAAGACTGCTGAATTAAAACAGTAAACCCAAGTTAAGTCTCCACTGGCGACAACCCATACAGGGCACTGTAGTACAGGGACTGCATGGGGAAAGCTAACAGATGGGAAGACAAGGCTGGCATCTAGCTGGGACAGACAGATTTATGAAGGGCCTTGAAAAAGGGGACGAGAAGGAATTTTATGGGGTAGAATTTTATGAGATGAAACAGGAGGAGCCAGTGAAAGGATTCAAAGTGACATGATCAGAGTGATGGGCAGGGAAGAAAGATTAGAATACTTCAAGAGAAGCTCTTCATATATACAGTGAAGAAGTTTGTCATTAGTATTAAAACTGTTAATCTTTTTTATTGAAATATTAAACACACTTCCACCTTTTAGGACAGTCATTTTGATATTGTTTTCTACTCACGCAAAAACTGGTCTAACAGCATTGTTCATATTTCCATAGGTTGCTCGGCCCAACAGTTCTCTAAAACAATTCTCGGCCAGCAGAGCAGGGTTCTCCTCTTTCTCTCCTCCTGTAGGCGAAGAGGGTGGGCCAATTCGACTGAAACAAAGAAAAAAGTTGCACTGGAGTTATTCTTACCTGTTACTCATACACCTATCCCTAGGTACTTTTATGGCTCTCATTCATCTAGTATTCGAGTGCTTGACTTATGCAAAGCCACTCAACAATGACCTCTGCAAGATATCTCATCCAACTTGTTCCAAGACAGACAGTGCACGACAAGCTGGGATGTAAACCTAGAGTGCACTATAATGTCAGGCACTAACCAGCCATGTGGACGCTGCTACTGCGCACTAAAAGTATAGCGTGCTTTGATCTATTCTAGTTTCATGTAGCCAGTTAGTGCACTGCACGTTAGTGTGCTGTAAATTTACATCACAGCCTACTGTGCACTAACTGTCCAGCTAGTCAAGCCCTGTGTATTTTTGTGGCTCAAAATTTTATCTGTGTCTGTACTAGGTTGTGAATTACCTGGAGCAGAGACTGAATGTCAGTCTTTACATATCTATTCTCCCCCAAGCAAACTGTAGGGGTTCAATAAATAATTTAGTTATAGGACCAGTAACTGACAGGAGGCAAAACAATGGCTATCAATACTGAGTTTTGACATGTTACTTGTCCAGTAACACCATCACATCTAATATTGTAGATTTGTCTATGGACTGAGAAACCTGGTGAACAAATGGTTGCCCTTTCATCCTAGACAGCTTTAAATCTAAAACCTATTTGGCAAGATCAAATCCACTCATTAGCTATGTAGCTATATGATTTGGTTAGCTTTAATTCAGACAATTTTGTCAATCCTTACATTATCTGAAGGGTTCCATCCTTATCTGAAGGAATTGGATGGAGGTTCCTGATCTGAAGGAACCTCCATCACTTGCTGTAACGCACTCCAAAAAAACCTTAATTGGTGAATACTCTCTCTATTGCCTTCCTCTTTCACGTGCAGCTTTTATTAGAGGAGCACTTTGGGGCAAATGGGACAAAAAGTTCCTGCAACGAACCTTGTGTCTGGTAAAAGAAGAACAAGTCAAACAGTTTTGAAGGAGCCCCAGCTGCATTTGTATCAGCCCTGAACTCAGCTATCCAAAGAAATTGAGCCATTCTTGGTCTTGGTCTTACATAACCCTCTAAGTATAGCAGAAAAAACTATGATAAAACATAGTACTTTATTTAATGCCTTTTTATGGATTTCATTCCATCAGAATTCAGATTATTGAGCGGGCAGGAGCCATTCAGCGGCAGGTGGCCTCCTCCATGGCTGTGGGCTCATCCTCCTCCTTGCAGTCCTAACTAGAAGTCTCTGCTCTGTCCTGCTCACCCACTCCCATGATGGCAGGGCGGCAGAGGGGTTCCTGCGCTGCCACAGGGTCGGTGGACAGCTGATCCCTGGAAGCACAAGGAAGGCTGAAGTCCATGCAGGGAAGAGCAGAATCCTGTCATGGCCCCACTGACTCCCCTCCATGACAGTGGGGCTGCAGAGGGTTCCTTGTGCTGCTGCAGGAGTCATTCAGCCTCTCTCACGGTTGAGGACTTGTCCTCCCCCCTTGCAGTCAGGGTCTTTTATCCAAATGTCCACATTATCCAAATGCCTTCCTTATCCCCCAGCATGAGATACACGCTGTAGAAGGCCTGTATCTCATGCTGGGAGACAAGGAAGGGATTCAGATAATGCAGACATTCGGATAATGGGGTTTTGGATAAACAGGAACATACCATAAATCTATACAACAGACAGGTCGAAAACAATTTAAAGCAAAAGTTATGCGATGTTTCAGGCTGCATAAAATATTTTTGGTAACATAGCTAAGATTTACTTGTATGTATTTATTATATTTCAAAATGAATTAAAAGCCCCAAATCTCTGCAAGAACTTGGGCAAAACTTTGGTAAGAACAAAGTGACTAATGATCTCCTTCACTCGCCCACCGCTTAATCCTCATTCGGTGGGTGAGTGTGAAATGAACACTCCAGTACTTTTGCAGTAACAGTTGGTTTCCAGGTTAAAAAAAATTGATGGAACTAATTAGAACATTGCTGCCCACATAACTACATCACAACTAGATCCTGCAGACCTTAAAGTCTGCAAGTATATTCAATTCCGGAAACACAATGCTTGTGTGTTAACTTTGTTTACAAAGAATGTCAATCAAAAGAAGCACGCCATATTTAATAGTTTTCAGTAGCTTAAAGCTATAGCCTATGAGTATCACAAAGAGTCAGAGGTTGAAAAGAAATGTCATTTTAGTCAAATGACAACTTACTTCACAGCTCTAAGGCTTTCCAGTGTTCGCAGAAGGTTTGTGGTTTAAGGCCATCGTGATCTAAAATTACATAGTCAAGCCTAAGTGCCTCTGCTCTGGTCAATATTTTAGAAGCTACAATACTAAGTAGGTGGTTAATAATCAGACGCTTGCCAAACACTTTTAGAGTGCAAAAGAGGAGATCGTGAGGACACTTGTCTAACAGAATGGGAAAAAAAACTGGATTTGCTATTAGAGGGCAAGTCTATATAGCCTGAAGCAGCGAGCCTCCTGGCCTGGCTCAACAGACTCAGGCTAGCAAGACTTATGCTAGTGCTCTAAAAATAGCTGTGTAGAACGTGCTTTGAAGGTGCAGCTAGATTCAGAGCCTGAGTCACAACTTCAAAGCACTGTCTACACAGTTTATTTTTAGAGTGCTAGCCCGAGCCCTGCTAGTCCAAGTCTGTTGACCCAGGCTGGGAGGCTCATTGCTGTGTAGACATACAGTTTGTGTTTTACCACCGCTTCTGCCCAATGCCAACCACTTTATTGTTAAGTTATATTGGTTATTTCAGTTCCAGTTTTTAAACGGGATATACCAATTGTAAAGCTGAATGAAAATTAAAATGAACAAAACCATTTTAATTTCGGCACATAACTGGTAGTAATATACATAGTGATGCTATGACTTCAATTTCTTAATTACCTACAACAGTGATATTTAATTACATTTTCTGGTGGGCCAGATACGGCAATGTCCAAATCTTGGTGAGCTAAAGGGCACTCTAGGGCCAAAGGGCTTTTCAGGTGTTTGCTCTCTAGTGAGCCTGCCACCGGCCAGGGCTTGCAACCTTTCAAGAGTGGTATGCCAGACTATTTATTAATCTCAACATAAAATATTAAGCATGCCAGTAGACAATATTCGATGAAATGTTGCAAACAACTATTTACACAAATACACTGTAATGTTATTAAAACAGCATGCTATTAATATAAATTCTATTAAAACTACAAAATTCACATTAGACATTAAACTCATAAGAAATGAACGGACATCTAATTTTCTTTTCTTACAGCCTGAAATTTTGAAATTTGCTCGCAGTCTTTTTCGGAAAGGTGCTGCACAGTACCAATCAAATTAACTAATGAAAGCATATCAATTACAGATCACTTTAAGTTGCATAAGTATCTGATAAAGCACCCCCCTGCCAGTTGTGCCCAGCCCCACCTCTGCTCCTACTGGATTCTTCACTCCCTCTCCCAGAGTGTGTGTGTGTGGGTGCAGCGGGGTCCCCCCTCCCCTCTTCCAGGCAGAGGGCAGCTCCAGGAGTTCTCTTCACCAACCTTTCCGCTCCCTCCTCCCCTCCTGTAAGCCCCCTCCCTTCCTGTGAGAATAGGCTAGACTCCTCAGGGAAAGGGAAAAGAACTCTGCTGTTTCCAGAACAGGTCTGGTTGGCTGCTGCTTCCCAGAAGGCATGAAAGAACAGCTGATGCCCAGGCAAATGGAAGACCATTGTAGGCCAGATCTGTGTCTCAGGCTGCCAACTGAAAAACAATGCAGTAAGTGATACATTTTGGAGACGCCTTATAATCCAAGGTCCTGAGCTGCATCTCCTAAAGCCTCTGTGTTAATCCAGCCCCGAGTACATGACAATGTTTCACTGCAGAGAACTTTGCCATTTTTCCACTGCAGCTATCAAAGAATCTGTTATGAATGGGTATGTGGTAAATGCCTGCTCAGCTTGTAATAAACTACATAAGAGCTCTTCCAATCCCTACTTTGAGCATTTATTCTAGAAACCAGGAGGAGGAGGAATCTTTCAGGCTTATGAAAAAGAATATATTATACATATACTAGCAATTAGATAGTACATTTCTCCCTTGTAATACAGAACTGTAATAAAGTATAAAAGTGCAGTAGTGAAAAAGAATAAATGACTGTTAGAATTATAAGATGCAGCAAATCTGGAGTTTGCCTACATGTGGGGTGGGGTGGAGGGTGTTAAACCACATTGATGCCATTATTTAATTGGCAGTACGTAAGCCACGCGAATAGCATGCATACAGGAAGGCTGTGCATTTTTTTAATTTGCATTGTTGTGTACACTAAGCATGTGGAGTTCTTGGAGGATCTTCTATGGTCCTTTGTTTTGCTGCTAAGAAGTATGCATTCTGGGATTTTTCTCTCTACATTGTGGGATGCATAGCAGAAACCAGGAGGGTTCAAATTCTTAAAAAACGAAAAAAAAAAACCCTAAGGTTTCTGCTTTCTCTGCCCCATGCTCTTTCTGGGTGGGTTAGCCCCATTTTCGTATTTCTGTTGGCCAGCATGGACCAAACAATGCGCCGCACTGCACCTCTATGCTGGCAACTGTGAATATACAGAGGCAGGCTGGGCTGCATTTCGGCACTTAAAGCTGGATGAATTTGGACTTTGCCTGCTGCACCACCCAGCAGATGATGTGGCAACAACTGCAGCTGTCCAGTAGCACCAGCAGCTTCAGTGAGGTGAGGATGATGAAGAAGATGACACAGAGCAGCTGATTTTAGAGGAGCCATTCCTGAAGCAGCTTCACACCATGCAGTGCCATTTCTGGGCTCAGGAAACCAGCACTGATTGGTGGGAAAGGAGAGGTTACTAACCCTGTGAGGTACTTGGAATTCTTTGAGATGTGTGTCCCTGTACATTTTGTACTTCCCATGAACAAGCGGACTCTAGTCCCAAGAACCATTGAGGAACTACACTTGCAGTTAAAGAACGTTCAGATTGAGGTGAAGCACCTGACCTGCATC